CCTCCCCCACTGCTTGCTTCTTTATGGCCAAACGCCCGGACCCTCGAATCGATCTATACACAGCAGCCGCAGAAGCGGTTGAGGGCGGTTCTGAGGGTTTGAGAATTGAGGGGCCGGAGGTAGGAGCAAGAACGAGAGTGGTACCCCCCTGCGTGGAGCCATGATAGCTGACGACATCCGTGGGGCCTGTCGCCCAGATAACGTTGTGAAGCTTCCCGAAAACTATTGGGCGGTCGTTGCAGTTGCCTGTGTCAAGGTTGCGCCACACATTTACGGTGGTCCAAGTGTCGCCCGTGGATTGGTTCTGCGGAGAGTCACTCTACAACGGTAAAGAGCTAGATTACGGGGTTGGCACGAACTACTAGGAGTGATCATAGCTTTGCTTAGTTCGTTAGTGCTTATGCATATACGGGAGAAATTGGCAAGAGTTTCCACTAGGCAAAGTCGAAATTACAGGATGACTGAACAAGCAATGACAGAATGACTACATCAGGCACCTAGCAACCCTGCAGCTAGCCTGGTCGACCGCCAGCACAGCTCGGTCGACCGCCTACCAGCGTTGCGTAGAGGAGCCGCGCCAGCACTGCAGAAGGGCGACCTGCCAACAGAGCAGGTCGATGGCGTACCAACGCTGCAACAGAGTGGCTGTCCAGCGTTGCCCCGTAGAACATAGCAGTGCGCACACTCGCAGGTGCGCGCAGACGATTGGCCCGATTTGCCTCGTTGGGCATCCGTCGGCTGTTGTTTGCGCCTGACGAGCCACATCGACATCGGGATATCAGCCCGAAGTCGCCTGCGCCATTGCGACCTTCACGACGTTCGCGTGCCTCCGTAGAACTCGTCGAGCAGGTTACCCGGTCGACCTGGTCGACCCCCATGTGCTCTGGTCGACCCCCAGGTGCCTCCGGTCGACCACCAGGTCCCTCTGGTCGACCACCAGGTGCCCCTGGTCGACCACAGCTCCTGTCGAGCTACCCCCCTGGTCGACGGACCCCTTCCGTCGACCATAATAGTCAGCGGTTGTCGCCGAGCTCCCCTCGTCGACCGCTGCTCACTTGTCAGGTCGACGGACTGCTCCATCGACCTCCCAGTCGAAATGCAGGTCAACGGAGACCTCCCGGTCGAGCTGTAGGTCGATGGAGACCTCCCGGTCGAGCTGGAGGTTGACGGAGACCTCCCGGTCGAGCTGCAGGCCGCCGGAGACCTCCCGGTCGAGCTGCAGGTCGACGGACTGCTCCGTCGACCTCCCGGTCGAACTGCCCCTCCTGGTCGACGGCCCACCCGTCGCCCAGACCAGTCAGTTGCAGCTGTCGAGCTGCCTGGTCGACAGCAACACCACGGCGGTCCCCGGCAGCTCGACGAAGCCTGTCGAGCAGCTCTCCCACTGTGAATGGTCGGCTGCTACTCCCGTACACCCGACCAAGTCGTCGGCGTTGCCCAAGCGAGGGCGGGGCCAACACTCCACTCCCGTTAACAAGTTCGTGGTTTGACTGCCGCCCAGCACGTGCCAGTCCTGCTTGTCGTCTAGTGTGGGTTCGGTGCTGGTGTTGAAGGTGAAGCAGTCCGTTGCATACGCGCGGCCCTCTTTTTCCGCTACCCACGCCACGAGCACGTCGGGATAAAAAAATTGGATTGACACAATGAGCAAGTTTTGCAAAAGAAAGAAGAGAGAGAGAGAGAGAGAGAGAGAGAGAGAGAGAGAGAGAGAGAGAGAGAGAGAGAGAGAGAGAGAGAGAGAGAGAGAGAGAGAGAGAGAGAGATCGAGCCCCCGTCCGACCACTAGGGTCGGACAGCGGGGGGAGGGGAGGGGAGTAGGTGATGGTTGATAGGTCTGCTTGTTTGCCTAGTTTGCATGTGTCTGCTTCAAACCTTTGTACCACCCTTCAGCTAATACACGGGCCATTAGAGAGAGAGAGAGAGAGAGAGAGAGAGAGAGAGAGAGAGAGAGAGAGAGAGAGAGAGAGAGAGAGAGAGAGAGAAGATCTTCTTTCGTGATGAATCAATCCGTGGCGTACAAACGACCCTCGTTCTCCGCCACCCACGCCACTAGCACGTATGGATTGAGATTTTGGATTGATGTCCCGGAAAAGAGGGGGATAGAGAGGGAGAGCGAGGGAGAGAGGAAGAGACGGAGGGAGCGGGAGAGAGAGAGAGAGAGAGAGAGGGACTACCTCTCGGAGAGGGAGGGAGAGAGAGAGAGAGAGAGAGAGAGAGAGAGAGAGAGAGGAGGAGGAGGAGGAGGAGGAGGAGGAGGAGGAGGAGGAGGAGGAGGAGGAGGAGGGGGGGGGGGTTTGGGGGGGGGGAGGGTGGGGAGGGGGGGAATAGACAAAGAGAGGAAACAAACTGAAACCATAGAAAAGGGATGAAATTTATATGAACATGACCTCCATTTTGTTTAGGACAAGAAAACAGAGAACCTGTGAGGACCCACAACAAAATATTTAGTAGTGTGAGAATTATATTTTCTAGTAGTGGCAAATGAACAGGGCCCATCATGCAATTTGTTACTTATGGGAGTCATGATCCTTGCAACCCCAGAACCAACTACAAATCGGACAACAAACCACTGTCCCCTGCGGCACTTCAACTGTACCAGCAGCAACTGGGTTGCCTGCTGTTCGCATCTGTCACCTGCCGACTCGACATTTCGTACATTGCCAGCCAACGGGCACAGTATTCACGCAAACCAGTAGCTGAGAACCAACTGGACCTGGAGCGCGCCCTGCAGTACTTCATCTCCACACCTCACATCTGGCTCTCGTACTCCACGCTGACGACGACCTCCTTCAACCTCAACGGCTACGTGGACGCAGACCTTGCAGCTGATCCTGTGAATCGACGGTCCCGAACCTGCTTCGTCTTTCGCCTAGAACCAACAGGGCCAATCTCCTGGAACTCACAGAAACAGGAGCTGGTTGCCCTGTCATCGGCTGAAGCAGAATACATCGCTGCGACAGCAGCAGTTCGCGAAGGCCTGTACCTGCAGGAGCTGCTACAGGAGGCGAAAATTCCAACTTTGCCCACCTTTCGCCTTCACTACGACAACCAGAGTGCCATCAGAATCGCGAACAAGCCAGGTTTCGTGAACCGCACAAAGCACATCGCGCTTCGGTACTTTTTCGTCAAGGACGAAATTGACCAGGGGAAAGTTGACCTCGCGTGCTGCCCAGCCACCGAGATGGCAGCAGACTTCCTCACCAAACGACTGCCATGACAGCAGTACAAGCACTGCTCGGATCTCACCAGAGTAGTCAAGCGAGTCAGCTCCTCCCGCGTCCAGGAATGAAGGGGGGTGTTACGATATGAAGTTGTATGAGAAGGCATTCCTGTATGCTACAGAAGCCGACTCTACCGAGTACAAAGTCGAGGAGTCAGAAGAGTCGAAGCGACGCAGAAATTGTCTGACCAAGACCAATGCAGGCAGAAACATTTGAAATGAAAAGAGCGGGAACGGGTTTGAAACGGGTTCCCGCGCCGCACGGTTTTTGAACTCACTGCAATAAGGGAATGTATCCCTTAGAGTACATGGCTAGTCTAGGTCTTTTCGTATTCCCTTGTATTCTTATATAAACACGATGTATGCATGCTTTCGTCAATCTCAGTCATTTGCATTAACTCTGACCTGAGTTCACTACTTCCGCTGCAACACCACTCTGCGATCAACCCTGAGCGATCCTTCGCTAAGTCCCATTTGGGATTGTAACAAGGGTCACCTCTGGGTCAGCACATTTTAGGGATGGAAGTGACTCTATCAAAGTCCGCCTGGAACGAGCAGGAATCGCACCCGACCCGACCGTATGAATCCCGCACCTGAGCCCGCCATGGAGCTTATCTAGGAGATTCCTATAGCAAGTCATCCCGTTGTGTTAGCTCGAACCGCCAATCGGATGGTCGCGTCGCTGTCGTTGACGGTCCAAAAGAGCTCGAAGCGCGGATCTAGCAACGCCACGTTGGAGTAGGAGGAGAGCGATTCTGGAAGTGAAATGGCGGCAGCGCCGCTGCCGCCGCCGCCGCCGCCGACATCCGCAAATTCCGCGACGGCGGTGGAACGTTGTGTGAATTGGTCGCTGGAAATGAGAGCCGTGGCACGGAGGAAAATACACGTGGGGACTGCACGACGCTGAATTCGGAAATCAAGCGCCATAATCTTGTTCGAAACTTCTCAGACAAGAACCTTTGGCCCTTTTTTCTGGCCAGTTTCCTTTTCCTCGATGTCACCCGACAACTGAGCCGTAGATGGCTGCCAGTGGAAAATTCAACGGTGCAGGGTTCGACCAGACACTACTTCGGCCCTGTTCGACAGGCTAACACCGACGGCCGCGGAATCCTCGCAGCTCTTTCCTTTTCACAGTTTTTCCCACGGTCAACCCGTAAAATAGGCAAATGGGGCTTTAGCCCCCGCTAACCTGTTCGCAGAGTGTTAGCATGTCGAACGCACCCGATAATTAACCCCTTCGCCCTCCTAGAAAGAACCGCGAGCCTTCCCGCACGGGCAAAGGTTTAGCCCTCGCCTAGCCTAACCCTCGCCCCCCAAAAGTGGGGTCAAAGGGCTCGTCAAGTGTTTGCAGAGGGAGGGACACCCACTCTGTGGACCCAAAAAAAACCCAAGTGAACCTCCCATTCGAAAACCTCCCTTATCGATTTGTGGGGATGGCCTATTTGTTTCCAGCGTTGTTACCCAGACCCCTTTGGCAAGTGGCCCAAAATTTTCTACACAGCCCGCGATGACCCAAATTGAAGGGGGCGAGCAGCTTCGCCTTGTGGGCCACTGTCCTTCCGATCTCCAGATGCGAGGCTTCCGATTGTGATGGGCAGTCGACCAGCTCAGGGAAGTTGCGCTGAACCCTCCCCTTAACACTAGTCTAACACTCGCCTTTTGCAAAGTGTTAGCCTGTCGAACAGGGCCTTCTAATGGACGGATCGGAGTTGAAATTTTCAAACTCGTTGCGGGCAAAGTCAAAGCCCACCAATCTTCAGTTTTGGCTGTCTGGACAGCAAAGATGCCAGAGAGTGACGGCTTAAAGCCCAAGGTCAGCATGGTTTTTGCCAAAACTACTGAAGGGCTTTGAGTGTGTTGGCGAAATGGAAAAAGGTTCACTTAGGGAAGATGGGCGTGGCGAACGCGAAATGAGCAACGAGGAGATTGTGTAGTCGTCACTCAACATCAGTTGGAGCGTGCGACAAACCAACCCAACCGAATGAGGAGAAACCACGGAGTGTGGAAGCCCAACCTCACTACTTCGGCCTAGAAACAATATACGAGGAAAAAACATATCGACAGCGCATCAAAGAGTAGAATACATAGCCGCTCTACAAGTCTAGCCTCCCCTTCCTCATCGAGCTCTTCCCCTCGTCGCGCTTCCCATTGCCTCGCCTCCCGTCGTCGCGCCTCACCTCGCCGCGCCTCCTGTCCCATCGTCATGCCGACCCTCAGTTCCTGGGAGCCTCCGTTAGTCGCGCCGCCGCTCGCCCCGCCGCGTCTCCGCTAGCCTCGCCGCACCTCCGCAAGCCTCGCCGCTCCTCCGCAAGCCTCGCCGCTCCTCCGCTCGCCTCGCCGCGCCTCCGCTCGCCTCGCAGCGCCTCTGCTCGCGGCGCCGCGCCTCCGATCGCCTCGCCGCGTCTCCGCTAGCCTCGCCGCGCCTCCGCTAGCCTCGTCGTGCCTCCGCTAGCCTCGCCCCGCCTCCGATTGCCTCGCCGCGCCTCCGCTCGCCTCGCAGCGCCTCCGCTCGCCTCGCCGCGCCTCCGCTCGCCTCGCCGCGCCTCCGCTCGCCTCGCCGCGCCTCGCTCACCTCGCCGCGCATCCCCTGCCATCAGTGCGCCAGCACCCTCGTCGCGCTGCCCCTCCTCACGCCTCCAATCCCGCTGCCCTTCTCCCACCTGCCCATACCTTGCCCTCGCTTCCCTGCACTTTCATTCCCACGTGTTACCTTCCCCTTATTTTTGCCTATGCTTCCCCTCATTCCCTTCCCCTCATTTCCCCCTCTCCTTCCCCTCCCCTTCTTCCCCTCATTTCTCCGCCTGCTTCCCCTCATTCTTCCCTCTGCTTCCCCTCATTTACTCCCCTGCTTCCTCTCGTTTTCCCCTCTGCTTCCCCTATTTCCCCCCTGATTTCCCTAATTTTTACCCTCCTGCTTCCCCTCGTTTCCTGCTCTACTTCCCTTCATTCATCCCTTTGCTTCCCTTTCTCCTCGTTCCCCTCATTTACCCCGCTGCTTCCCCTCGTTTCCCCGTCTACTCTCATTGTTTCCCCCTCTGCTTCCCCTAATTCCCCCCCTCCTTCCCCTCATTTCCCCCCCTCCTTCCCCTCATTTTTTCCCCCTCCTTCCCCTCATTTCCAGTTCTGCCTTTCCTCATTATCCCTCCTGCTTCCCCTCCACCCTGCTTCTCCTCATTTACTCCCCTGCTTCCCCTCATTTCCCTCCCTGCTTCACCCCATTTTTCTCCCTGCTTTCCATGTTTGTACCCTCCTGCTTCCCCTGATTCCCCCCCTTGATTCCTCTCATTTCCCCCCTTGCTTCCCCTCATTTCCCTCCCTGCTTCGCCTCATTTCCCTCCCTGCTTTCCCTGTTTTCACCTGCTTCCCCTCATTCCCCCCCCTGCTTCTCCTCATTTCCCCCTCTGCTTCCCAGGATTTCCCCCTCTGTTTCACCTCGTTTCCCTCCCTGGTTCCCCTCGTTTCCCCCTCTTCCTCCCCTTGTTACAACTTTCTATCTCTCGCTTTCCCTCTCCCGCTCTTCCCTATCTCCCCTCTTCCCTATCTCCCCTCTTCCCTATCTCCCCTCTTCCCTATCCTCCCTCTTCCCTATGCTCCCTCTTCCTACGGTATTTTCTTCTTTCCCTCTCACTCTCTTCCTGTCTCCTCCTTCCCTTTCCTCCCCTCTTCCTATCCCCTTTCCTCCCCTCTTCCTATCCCCTTTCCCATCGTCTTATCTCCCCCTTTCTCTTCCCCCCTGCTTCTCTCTTCTCTTCACCCTCTTCCCTGTCTCCCCTATCTCCACTCTTCTAATCTCTATCTGTTTGACTTTTTTCTTGTTCCCCCTCCCAATCCCTTGTATTCTCTCCCTCCCCCTGGCTATTGCAGTAACTACACTGAAGATTTTTCTGGTACTTCAACTCACCTCAACCCATCATCCCATCCCATGCTCGTAGAGTTACAGTTCCTGTGTTTTTTCAAGGCCTTGAGAAAGGTTCAGTCGTATATGTATTGCTTCCCTTGACCCTTGCCTACAATCAAAAGTATTAGAACATGCGTACATGCCTATGCATCTTAGAATAATATCTTGCACTGCAGAAACAAAAGTACCGTACATAGTGTGCCTTTGGGATGCATATCTCCAACAGTAATACAGTACGATGCGCGCATACAACAGACACGTAACAGGTGGTGTTACGGTGTAAAGCATCGACTAGCTGCGCCTCAGCTAGCAATTGTTGCTCCTTTGCTTCACCACTGAAAAATAGGGGAATGGAGAAGGCAGAAAGAATTGTGTGAAGGAACATGGGGGAGGTGGTGTGAGGTGCAAGGGACCAACGGCAACAGCAACGGCACATGATGAAAGCGTGTACGGGGAGACAGTGATGGGTCCACATGCATGGGAACTAGAGCGTGGTAGGTGAGTTGTGAGGGGGAAGGGGAAGGCATGAAAAGGAAGGAAAGGGTTGAGAAGGGATGGGGAAAGGAAGCGCAGGGCAGGGAGGGAAAGGCAGGGATAGGGAGGGCAGGGCAGGTGGGAACATGGCAGAGGGGGGGGGGGAAGGAGGGCTGAGGGTGGTGGGAAGGATTGTGAGAGTGCGGGAGGAAGGAGAGAGATAGTGCGGGTGTGAGGAGAGAGAGAGAGAGTGCGGGAGGAGGGAGAGAGAGGGTGGGAAGAATGAGAGATGGCGGCAGAACGGAATGGGAGAGGGTGGGCGGAACAGAATGAATAGGAAGGACACCTGGGCAGAGATTATGGGGGGGAGCAGGGAAGGGGATGGGGGGAAGCAGGGAAGGGGATGGGGGGAAGCAGGGAAGGGGATGGGGGGAAGCAGGGAACGGGATGGGGGGAAGCAGGGAAGGGGATGGGGGGAAGCAGGGAGGGGGATGCGGGGGAAGCAAGGAAGGGGATGGGGGGGAGCATGGAAGGGGATGGGGGGAAGTAGGGAGGGGGATGGGGGGGAAGCAGGGAAGGGGATGGGGGGGAACAGGGAAGGGGATGGGGGGAAGCAGGGAGGGGTATGGGGGGAAGCAGAGAGGGGGATGGGGGGAAGCAGGGAGGGGTATGGGGGGAAGCAGGGAGGGGGATGGGGGGAAGCAGGGACGGAGATGGGGGGAAGAAGGGAAGGAGATGGGGGGAAGCAGGGAAGGGGATGGGGGGAAGCAGGGCTGGGGATACGGGGAAAGAATGAAGAGGATGGGGGGAAGCAGGGCAGGGGATGGGGGGAAGCAGGGAAGGGGTATAAGTTGGGGGAAGGAAGGCGATTATTGGAGGGAGGGAAAAGAGGGAGTAGGGAGAGAAAAGGGAGGGTGACAAGTGTGCGAGATGGGAAGGGAGACGGGAGGGAAGGCGAGGGCGACGGGGAGTGGATGGCAGGGCGACGGGGAAAGCGAGGGCGACGGGAAGGGAGGGCGACGGGAAGGGAGGGCGACGGGAAGGGAGGGCGACGGGAAGGGAGGGCGACGGGAACAAGGGTGGGCGACGGACGGAAGGCAGGGCGACGAGGGGGAAAGAAGGGCGACGGGCGGAAGGGAGAGCGACGGCGGAAGGGAGAGCAACCGTCGGAAGGGATATACTTGACCCTCGACCGTGCGACCGTCTAGATGCGCAACCCGGGTTAGACGCCGGGGGGGTGGATGGAATTGTGACGTGCAGGCACGTGTTGGCGTCGCGCGAGTAACTATATCCGGTTGGGTGCGCACTGCACACGCATGTGAGCTCTCTAGTTATTGTATAAATGGGACATCTCCGACTGGTTTTATGATTGGCTGTTCGTATTTGTCACCAAATAGGCTGCTGTACTGATACAGCTGCTACGGAGAAAAGGAGTGATGCGGAGAAAGTTTGGGCGTGAAAAACGGGTGAACTAAGTAAACGTAGGCTGTCAATATGCCTGCCATTTAGTACAACATGGTTTTCAAGTTTACTGAAAGTGAACAGTGCTCCATTGCCCTCCGACCCTTTACTCGGTATGACTGGTTTTGTCGCCGGCCAATCATGGAACAACGTCGCAAAACCTCCCCTCTGGATCGCGACGGATATCCTCCACTTCGGGTGGTAACATGGTTTTTTGCGAATTCATATTCAGGAGTCTTGAACTTGAAAATTGCCATGTAGAACTCGGGCTTTAAGGGCATGTTCCTAAGAGACTGATAAACAGAAAAATGCCATAGTGTCCGTCTCGAAAAAATGTATGTCCAAGCCAAGACCCGGGTGATTTTGGAGTAGTCGTGAGTTTTGGTAACATGCATATTTTGGATTCATGCGTTCTTTGCCCGTGATTCGTCACCTCGTTGACTGGAAGCCGTCTGTCGCACGTATGCGTTCATCTACGGTTCATGTTCGAGTCGTTTTTGTTGTGCGGCTCAGATTGCATTACCCACACCATTGAGGATTGCCCTGCCCACCATCGTGCACACGATGCTGTCAGAGTGGGGGACGGCCCCACTACGGACATGACGCCTGATTTCGGCTTGCGATAATTCGCCGAGATCGCCTGACGGTCTCATAACGCTATGATTTTGTCTCACCGCCAAACTTGTAAGACGAGGATAGATGAACGTGTGAGCGAAACGTGTAAGCAACAAAATCATTCGAAGCGCCAGGATGAGAAGTAGTGGGAAACCCAACAAATTACAATGCGACACGGTTGTGATGCGAGTCAAAGGCCCTCAATGTTCGTTATGAGTACAATAAAAACTACGGAAACCAGCTTACAGGTTGTATGTGATGCTGAAAATCAGTTACCCACATATATTTCTGAACACCACATGCACTATCACTGTGCATAATTCAGAGACACTGATAAAATGGCTGGGAGATATGTCACACCCTGAACGCGTTCTACATCTCACATCACTCTATAAAGCAACCTACGAAGTGCAATAAAACAATGTAAAGGTACCATGTAAGTCAGCAGGAACCATTAGAAAGCGAAGGGGGCAATGAAGGAGCAAAGCATAAGCGTCAAAGTTATATAACTACCAGTTGCTGCTGCTGGGGCAGCCTTTGCATTGGTCTTGGAGGGGGGAGCAACAGCAGTGGCATTGGCGGCGGAAGCAAGAGCATTGGTATTGGTGGGGGATAGATCTCCATTGGTGTTTGCAGTGGAAGCAGCATTATTGGCAAGGGAAGAAGGGGAGAGAGTGCTGCCTGGTTGGAGCAGTGTTGAGATGTCATCGACTGGAATGGTCGACAGCGAAATTCTGGTCCTGCAGTAGGTTGCGGGTGGTGTGGGGTGGAGGGAGGTGGAGGGGGAGTGGGAAGGGGCGATCTTGAGTCAATGAAAAATCGATTGAGAGAGAAGTCCCAACGAAGGAGGGCCTGCACGTCCCCTCTCGATCTTGAGTCAACGAAGTCTTGGACGTGCAGTGCGTTACAGGGTGGAGTGGAGGGATAGGGGGAAGGAGGGAAAAGGAGGGGGGAAAAGGGAACGAAGGGGAAGAGGGGGAAGAGGGGGAGGGGGAAGAGGGGGAGGGGGAAGAGGGGGAGGGGGTGTTGTAATGGTATGGGTGATGTGCTGGTATGGGTGGGGCACTATAATGTAGTTGGAGTGCAGTACAGTGTAATGCAGTGTAGTGCAGTTGGGGAGAGGGGAGAGTGGGGAGAGTGCGGTGGAGTGGGGTGGAGTGGGGGGATGGTTTGCACTCACTGGTCAGGGCAGCCATAGAGCACTGTGACATTGTCGTTGCAGCCGTAGCTGATAACGCAGGATTTGCCGGTGGGGATGTAGGGGTTGTGCCCTGGCCCACACACGTAGTGCGTGGTGAGGTCTAGGCGGCTGGGGTCGATGGTTAGTGTTTCATTGTCCATGGCCCCACACACCGTGTAGCATGCATGCATCTCTGGTGGTTGGGGAACACAAGGGTTGGGGAGGGAGGGAGGGAAGGAACAGGGAGGAACAGGAAGAAAGTTTGGTGGGGATGAATGGGTTGTGCCCTGGCCCACACACATAGTGCGTGGTGAGGTCTAGGCGGCTGGGGTCGATAGAGAGTGTGTTGTCCATCGCCCCACACACCGTGTAGCATGCATGCATCTCTGGTGGTTGGGGAACACAAGGGTTGGGGAGGGAGGGAGGGAAGGAACAGGGAGGAACAGGAAGAAAGTTTGGTGGGGATGAATGGGTTGTGCCCTGGCCCACACACATAGTGCGTGGTGAGGTCTAGGCGGCTGGGGTCGATAGAGAGTGTGTTGTCCATCGCCCCACACACCGTGTAGCACGCATGCATCTCTGGGGAGAAAACAGCAGGGAAAGTGAAGAAGGGTTACCTTGGCTCTGCGTTGCAGAGTAGTACACGAGGTGGTTGACACACGAGCTGACTTTTGAGTCGACTCAAGAGTAGTACACGAGGTGGTTGACACACATCCCATTCTCCACGGATGCCTCTATGATCTATCGAATATAAGATGGCCCCCCTACTAAGGCACATGGAAAGAAGGCTCACCTTGGCCCTGCGTTGCAGAGTAGTACACGAGGTAGTTCACACACATCTCGTTCTCAGCTGCTGGCCCTCCCACCGTTACCTGCAGGGCCGGGCAGAGAAGATAAGAGATTGGAGCAGAGAATAAGGAGGACGGAGGCAGCAAGGCAGGAGACAAGATTTGAGAGCTCGGAAATATTGTGCACTCATGTCTTTTGAAGCATTTCAAACATTGTGGCCTTGGGGGTTTGGGAGGTCGTACATTGGATTGGAGAGATCTCGGCTCCTGGTAGCAGCTCAAACTCTTTGAGAGGCTTTTAACGCACGCACCTCAAACCTTGTGACCTCGGGGGTTTGAGAGGTCTTACATTGGAGCGAGAGGTGGAGTCCCACACACAGTTGGTGCGGATCTCATCGCCTGGCAGCAGCTCAAACTCCGGTTGTACCGGCATGGTCTGCTGCGATGCATAGTCACTGGCACCCAGGAAGGAGAAAGAATGGGGGGAAGCGGAGGGGGTAAGGGCTTGCGTCGACTCAAAGCTCAAACTTGGGCTGTACCGTCCTGACTTTTGAGTCGACTCAAAAGTCACCTTGGGCTGTACC